TATGGCTGTATTTTACAAGCAAGGATTCTGACACAGAAATGTGAATCAGACGCTTTACAAATGTTGCGTGTAGGGGGAACACGTCAAACTTAATGAAACATTTGAGGGCGCATGGAATCAACTTAAAGGCAGTGGAATGGGCTTTCTTTGACAGCTTGCAAGATCGTCTGGCACTTTCACTAAGTACATTTACATGGACACCAATACTCCCTTTTTATAATTAAGATAAAACTCTTGTCTTACTCTTGATTAAGTCTGCCATGTAAACAGCGATTTTTGATTACCTTAAAGGACCACAGAGTCCCGAAATGCTGAGGTTTTTCTTTCTGTTCACCGTGAGGTATCAAATTCCATTAAAACAGCACTCTTCCAGCAGTCCTTACTTCATGTCTTCATTCAATAATTGTCACAGGGCATGAACAATATGTTGCTGAATGAAAGTGAACTGCAGTTAAAGTCTAAAGATAAAAAATGAAAAACCTGAAATTACATGAAACTCTGGAGGAAACAATGGATAGCCTGGTCATGCGACATTAATTGTTTTATACTGAAACTTTTCTTCTAAAAGCGCTTCCTTGGTCTTATCCATATTTCTTTGCACGTTAAACACACATCAGCCACAACAGGAAGTAGTTTTTTGTAACGTGTTCAATATTTCAAATTAATCACATGCGTTAACATGCTAATTTTGACAGCCCGACTACAAATTTTTATAGTATTACTACTAATACTATCTTATTATTTATAATATTACTATAAATAATACAGGTTTAAACAAAACCTTAATTTATGTATATGCGCAACTCAAAAATAAAAAAATGTGAAGCATTACATGTTGAGCAAGTCCATGAATAAAGAAAGAACAAATTATAGTATAGTATTTCGCCACAGCGAAATGAACTGCCAGCTTATCCAGCACATGTTTCACGCAGCGGATGCCCTTTTAGCGGCAACCCGTCTCTGGGATCATCTATACACTCTCATTCACACTCATACACTGTGGACAATTTAGCCTACCCAATTCACCTGTACCACATGTCTTTGGGCTGTGGGGAAAACCCATAGGAAACCCACGCGAACACAGGGAGAACATGCAAACTCCACACAGAAACACCAACTGACCCAGCCGAGGCTCGAACCAGCGACCTTCTTGCTGTGAGATGACAGCACTACCGACTGCACCACTGAGTCGCCCCGACTTCCAGATTACTATGGTATAAATACAGCACTACAACAAACAAATGAAAGATCGACTTAGAGTTCTCACTTAACAGTTTAATAATGATTAAATCAGCTATAGTTTAAAGTTATGGTGAGTTTTTCCTCCACTAAGGACTTATAATTGGCCATCTTGTGGAGGAATGTCAACTCTCTTTGCTCGGCTCAATGAAAGACTACGTCAACTTGTTGAGTCTCAGAAATTATAATTGTTTTTGAATAGGCACTATCCTTATATGTAAATACACTGCATAGATGCAATCTAAACAGCTACATTCTCACTGCAATAGTGAGTTTATTGATCTGCTGTCGCTCTATGTGGGAGGAGTAATACTCAAGTGTACATACTGTTATTACGGGAATATCGCACGGCTATCAGCCAATCAGATTCGAGAACCAGACAGAACTGTTGTATAAATATATATATATATATATGTTTAATATTTATTTAAATAATTCTAGCTAGGTGTTATTAATTAGCTTTTCAATATATCTAATTTTATTTTCATATAATGCATTTATTTATTTATTTATTTATTCAATGGTGATGATCGATCTCTTTGGCCAAAGACATGTTGGTGCTCTTATTAAGAAATTAGCAGGACAACAGGATTTCAAAGCTAAATATCAGTACAGCATCCAGAATGCACCATCATAAAGAATAATGTACAGTTCAACATTTTAAACAGTGTAAATAAAGGAAAACTGGAGGTTTAATGGATGTAAGTATTATATTGTGTGTTATGAGGCAGTTATTTTGTGTTTGATTGACAATATGCATGGGAAATTCTATCTGAGAAGTCTTAGTGTGTTACTTGGGTAACATGACTGCTGTGTGTTTTGCCACATCACATTAAAGAGTTGTCTATTTACGTCTTTCGATTAGCTTTTTTTTGTATTGCCAGTACTTGCCAGTGTTAATATGAAGATGTCATATTTGAAAGGGTATTGATGTCGAATCGATAACTGAAAGAGCAAAGCAATCAATTGTAATTAAAAACAGAATGATGATGTCGAAAAACTTAGTATGAAATCATAATGAAAAAAACAAGAGTGGGACACTGTGCTGTGAATAAACTCATTGTTTTCTGAATCACTCTTAGTTCAGTGTTTCTGTTCTCAAAAATTCTTCTATATAAAGCCTGACAGCAAGATGTTTGATATAGAAAAATAAATATGGTCGGTATGTGCTTTTCATGCATGCCCGAGAACAAAATAAATGTTTTAATAATACTGTATGAAAGCCTCTTGGTTTATTCACTATTGTCAAAATAATGTACGCTGCAAAAAAAAAGGCCTTTTGTAGTCCAAATATCTAAAAATCCAAACGGGCTCATTGTAAAAACATAGCCCTATACACATTTCTGGAGATCGCGAATTATGTAGCCAGAGGTATGTATGGCTGCACTTCATCTTTAAAACAAACGCTATGGGGCGGTATGACCACGTTCCTTTTCGCGCTACCAGCTGACCGATTACTTTCGTGTGAACAGTTTCGGGTCAATCAGTGCTTTTGAAAACACTGTCGGTTGGGTTTAGAGAAGTGGGTGGGCGGGTCAGTCGGTGCTTTTAAAAATACTAATGGTTGGGTTTAGGGAAGTGGGTGGGTGAGTCAATGGGTGCTTTTGAAAACACTGTCGGTTGGGTTTAGGTAAGAAGGTGGGTGGGTCAATCAGTGCTTTTGAAAACACTGTCGGTTGGGTTTAGGTAAGAAGGTGGTTGGGTGGGTCAATCAGTGCTTTTGAAAACACTGTCGGTTGGGTTTAGGGAAGAAGGTGGGTGGGTCAATCAGTGCTTTTGAAAACACTGTCGGTTGGGTTTAGGTAAGAAGGTGGTTGGGTGGGTCAATCTGTGCTTTTGAAAACACTGTCGGATGGGTTTAGGGAAGGGGATCAGTGGGTCAATCAGTCCTTTTTAAAAAAATACTAATGGTTGGGTTTAGGGAAGTGGGTGGGTGAGTCAATCGGTGCTTTTGAAAGCACTGTCGGTTGGGTTTAGGGAAGTGGGTGGGTGGGTGGGTCAATCAGTGCTTTCGAAAACACTGTCGGTTGGGTTTAGGGAAGTGGGTAGGTGGGTAGGTCAATCAGTGCTTTTGAAAACACTGTCTGTTGGGTTCAGGTAAGTGGGTGAGCGGGTTAATCTTTGCTTTTAAAAACACTGTTGGTTC